TATAGCTTATTCAAAATCTAATAGGTTAGTTTAAAAAAAGGAGTGGGGAAGCACTATTTATCAATGTATACTTAATCTAATGAAATCCATCAACTAAAGTGGAAAAGCATGATGGAGAATATATGGGTCAAAGTCAATGGAGGGATAAACAAAAGTGATTTTAAAACTGGGGTACACTATAGATGGTCTGAGAAGAAAGTGTAAATAGACAAGGATTGGGGAAAATAGAATACAAGCCTGGCACAGAAGCATAGTACAATAGTGGTAAGGGACTTCAATTATCCAGATAGCTAATGGAGCTCTTGCAAAAGCATAGCAGCTTATACATTTTTCTGAGCTGCCTTAAAAATAATTTCATCTTTCAGAAGGAGGAGGAAACAAAAAGAAGAAATTCTATTTTGGATCTAAGCATCGCTAACAAAAAGCAACTGGTGATAGGTGGAAATGATGGGTCTCTGGTTGGGGATTGGAAGGGAGTAACTACTCCCTCCCAGAGTTTATGAGAGAGAAAATGAGCAAATCTGGGCAAAATCTGACATGCAATCTAGATTTCTGGAAAACAGATTTCAAAGGATTGAGAGGAAAGATAGGTAGGATGCCATGGATTAAAATTTTACAAATTAAAATTCCTATCCTAAAAGGGATGGAAACTCAATTCCAGGGAGGAATAAAAAATGGGATTTGCCAATCAACTTAAATTTTAAAAAGAAATACGCAAGTAACTGTGAGTTCCTCCACCCAACATTCACTAGACTTCATTCTCCTCCACTTCTACCCTTACTCCTGATGTTGTATCACCACCTCCTTTCTTTCTTAAGAGTTTAATATTGCCACTTCATGGTTAACTATGGATGATACTATTGGCTTCCTTTGTTGTTGACAAGGGCTCTAACATATGCAAAGCTGATTTTTCAAGAAAAGATTACCCTCAGGCTGTCTTCCCCTCTGTTGTTAAATGCCCTAGACATCAAGATGTACAAGAAGTACAGGGTATGGGCAACAAGACACTTAATGTAGAGGATGAGCAAGAAAGGTATTCTGCCCCTGAAATATGCCATTGAACATGGTACTGTCACCGCTAGAATAACATGGAAAAGATCTGGAACCAAGCTTTCTAGAAGCAGTTAGGAGGTACAGTGGATAGAACACTGGACCTGAACTCAGGAACACCTAAGTTCAAATCCAGCCTCAGACACTTGCTAGCTGTATGACCCTGTGCAAGTCACTTAACCTCTGTCTTCCTCAAGCTCCTCAACTATACAATGGGGATAATAATAGCGCCTACCTCAAAGGGTTATTGCGAGGATCAAAGGAGATAATATTTGTAAAGCATTTAGCACAGTACCTGGCACATTAAAAATGCCAGTGCAGTATCGTCTAGCGGTAATACCACATAACTCAGACTTTGCTTAAAGTATGCAAAAGGATATCAAATCCCTAGCCTCCAGATCATTGCCTGCCTCAACTTGTCTGTCTAGATTAGAGGTTCTGTGCTGGCCTCCCTGTATACCTTTTAGCAAATGTGAATCAGTGAGCAGGTAGATGATGAATCTGAGTCCTCCACTGTCTGCCACAAATGCTTCTAAATGGACAGTTGCATTTTATTGTTGTTGTTGTTGTTGTTGTTTTGTCAAAGGGTATGACATGATAATTGCTTCCCACCAAAAGATATGAGATTGGCATGGCTTTATTTGACTCCAGGATTAAAAGCTGGAATTGTGAAGGTGAAGAATATTCTGAGTATGTTGGAAGCAAATATCCCCAAAGTCCAACAGAGTGTCTTCAGGACACACACACACACACACACATGCACACGTATATTTCTAAATATCCTGTGATGCATTACTATAAGAAGAAAGCTGCTCTACTTTACAAAAGGAATCAGCTGGATGGTACAGTGGATAGAGTGCTTGACTTGAAATCAGGAAGACCTGAATTCAAATCCTGCCTCAGACAACTTACTTAGTTGTGAGATCCTGGGCAAGGAACTTAACTTCTGTTTATCTCAGTTTCTTTATCTATAAAATGGGCGTAATAATAGCACCTAACTGGGTTGTTGTGAGGCTCAAATTAGATAACATATATAAAGTGTTTTGCAAACTTTAAAGCACAGTAAAAATTCTAGTTATTATTGTTGTTAAATCCAGACAAGGTGAGGAGGGGGAGGTAGTAGTATTAATTACTTATAAATTATGTAATCCTTCAAAAACCAATTTTGTACCTTCACCTTACTGCTTGTTCCTTTTTTTTCATTGTCAGAGTCATAATGGCCCCCTTTCTTTCCCCCCAACATAGATGTGAATGAAAGCCTCCCTAGGAGTTCAAAAAGATTGATATCAGTGCTTGGGAGAGGTGAGAAGCTTTACCTGTACACTGACTTAAGACCAATTGAAACAAAAGTGTACATCCTAAAGGAAGAAAAAGGATGAAATGTGCAGAAGACAGAAGCAAAGTTGGGTGACAGAGGATTAATTTTAAGATTGTGGCGCCATCCTATAGAAATAGTAGGAGAAGTGCCAAAATTCACAATGAAATACAGCTGGAGGGGGAAAGTTTGGGACAACAAAAAGGGGGTTGTTGTTTTTTTAGCTATATTAGGAGAAAAAGGAAAATTAAACGAGGGATAGAAGCTTTGCTTGGGGTGGGTAGAATAATGATAACTGACAACAAAGAGAAAGTAAAGCTGCTCAAATCTTATTTTGCTTCTATTTTCCCTGTCAAGGACAACGACCTTAGTACCAGAAATGAGAGAACAAAAATGACTCACAGGGAGTTGAAAAACAAGATAAGTAAGGCAATCATAAAAGAACATCAAGTTGCCTATGATGAATTCAAGTCATTTGTCTTAGAAGAATTGTACTCTCAAGTCACCCAAAAAAACCAAAAAACTCAACACTGGCAGATGTGATTTACTAAACCATGGTAAATGGGGAGTTACCATAATATTGGAGAATATTGGGAATGTCACAATTTTTTCTAAAAATGGAAGAGAATAGTCTGCAAACCATAAGCCAGTGAGCCTAACTTCATTTCCCAAGAAAATTATAGAACAGATCATTAAAGAAACAGGTGGAGAACATCTAGAAAGGGAAGAAAGGAATTATAAAGAACCAGCCCAGCTTCTTCAAGGACAGGTCATGCCAGACTAACCTCATTTTCTTTTTTGACAGGATTACTAAACTAATAAAAGAGAAGAATGTTGTGGAGATAGTTTGCTTACATTTAGCTTTTAATAAAGTAACTCATAGGGACAGCTTGGTGGCGCCAGAGCTCTGGCCTTGGAGACAAGAAGACCTGTGTTCAAATCCGGCCTCAGACACTTGACACTTAACTAGCCATGTGACCCTGGGCAAGTCACTTAACCCCAAATGCCTCACCAAAAAAAAATAAATAAATAAAAATTTAAAAAATAAAAAATAAAATAACTTACTATTCTTGTGGAAAAGAAGGAAAATATAGATTAGATGATAACACAACTAAATGGAGTCAGAACTAGTTGGCTAGAAAGGCTCTAAAGAGGAAATGGCTCGGTGCCAATAGGACTGGAGGTTACCAATGGAAGATTCCAGGGATTTGTGTTTGGCCCTAGGCTGTTTAGCATTTTTATCAATGACTTGGACAGAGGTATAGGTGGCATGCTCATCAAATGATACAAAGATGATACAAAGCAGGGATAGAAAGCTAACACTGTCAAGATCCAATACTCCAAAAAGAAACTTGACAAGCTAAACCACTGGGATGGATCTTAATTAGATGGAATTCAATAGGAATAAATATTAAGTTTTATCCGTGGGAATAAAAATCAGTTTCACAAGTACAAGATGGAGGCAACGTGGCTAGGCAACAGTTGTTCTGGAAAAGATCTTGGGTTTTAGTGGACTGCAAGCTCAATATAAGTCAGCACTGTGACAAGGCAGCCAGGAAAGCTAAAGGGACCTTGGGCTGCAGTATTAAGATAGACACAACTTTTAGGAGGACAGCACTGTTTCTTGCCCTCCCTCTGTGGTCATTTGTAAAGTGTTATACAAATACGAACTCATTATTATAGTGAATTGTGCATATATTTGTAGAAAATGATGTTTTAGATGTTGGACCGATTTTAGTGTATTCAAAGCAGAACCAGCCCCTAGTTTAATATTGGGAAAAGGAAAATCTCATGAAGCATCAAATCTGCTGAATTTTATGCCTTCCCATGAATGAGATGCAGCCCAACCCACTGGAAAAAGCACTAGAATTGGCCTCAATCTATCTTCCAATCCTGATTCTCCTGCTTCCTATCTGTACAACCCTGGACAAAAGTTATCAAACCTCTCTTGACCTGTTTGCCCATCTGTAAAATGAATGGGGTTGAACTGAATGATCTCTAAGGATTCTTCCATCCAAATCAATCAATAAACATTTATTAAGTGTCAACTATATACCAGATACTCTGCTAAGCACTGAGAATACAGAAAAAAAGGAAAAAATAGTTTCTGCCCTCAAGGAGCTTACAATCTAATGGAGGAGACAACCATCAACCAGTCAAACATTTATTAAGTGCCCACCATGTGCCAGGCACTGTGCTAAATGAAAAAGAGGCAAAAGACAATTCCCACCTTCAAGGAGCTTACACTCCAATAGAGAAGACAACAAGCAAACAAATACATGCAAACAAGCTCTATACAGGATAAATAGGAAATCATTAACAGTAGGAAAGTAGTAGAGTTAAGAGGGATTAGGGATCTTCCTATGAAAGATGGGATTTAAATTAGGCCTTAAAGGAAGCCAGGGAGGTCAGTAGAGGGAGAGCCTTCCAGGCATGGGGGATAGACAGAGAAAATGCCAGGAGCCAAAAGGTACAGTGTCTCCTTCATCTCTAAATCTACCATCCCTGTGAATTCCACCTGTCAGAACAGGATATTAGAGAGCAACGGTGACCACATAGGTCAGACATCCTTGCCTCAGGACAGGCAGGGGAGAAATCAGGGAAACCCTCCAGCAATCACCCCCCAAGTCTGTACCTGTATTTCCTGGACGCTCTCTTCTTCTTTGGCATCCACTTTCTTCTCAATTCCTTCACCTCGTAACAAGGCTTCCAGTGTGGTGCTTTCTGATGTGAACCCATCTTTCTTCAATGGCAGGTCCACTTCTGAAAAGCAAGAAAAACCAGAAAGAGATGTTGGACTTTGGTAGTACCTGTGGATAGTTAAGCAAAGTTGGGAAGCAGGGACCCTTAACTCAAAAAGGATTAGGGCAGCAGTAGTTTTCTCTAAGCAGAACCAGGCAGGAATTTTGCTATTCATTCATTTCAGTTGAATATGGCTTTTCATGACCCCATTTGGGGTCTTTTTGACTGAGAAACTGGAGTGGTTTGCCATTTCCTTCTCTAGCTCATTTTACAGATGAGGAAACTGAGGAAAACAGGGTTAAGTGACTTGCCCAGGGTCACACAGCTATTACCTGTCTTAGGCTGGATTTGAACTGAGGAAGATGAGTCTTCCTGAGTCCAGGCCTGGTGTTCTATCCATTGTGCCACCGAGCTGCCCCTCAGATGGGAATAGTAAGAGAACTAACATAGATAGAATCATAGATTTAGAGCCGGAAGGTATCTTAGCTGTCATTCAGTTACATTCTACCCCTTATATGAAAGATAAGGAAAATGAGGGCCTAACAAAGAAAAAATTACTTGCCCAAAGTCTCACACTGGTAATAAACAGCAGAACCAGGTTTTGAACCATGACTCTGATTCCTTTTACTGTACCACAGCCTTTCAGTACTATCCAGGGATTCCTGACCTGGGGTACACATATGCCCCCAAGGGATGTAAGAAGCTTGTTAAATCATATAGCCATTTGTAAATAACCATATTTGAAATTAAGCAATTTATTTTTTATGTGCATATGCATAGCAAACTCTAGAATTTATTTTCTTTCATTTTGAAGAGGATACACAAAGGTTTCCTTAGATGCATTAGCTATGGGGACTGAAAAAAGGTTAGAACCACTGCTTTAGACTTTCTCCAGATTCTTCATGTTTCTGTTTCAAGGTCCCAAATTAAACATGGTAATCTAAAGTCAGATTAATGACAAAAATAAAGGGAAGTTGAGGTCATGTTGATGTAGACTGTATTTTTATTTATACTTGCCAGCATGATATAATTTTGGTGATGGCAATGTCACATTGCAGAACACTTCATGGTTGTCAGCCTATTAAGATCACCACATCCTAAGCCTGAGCCTCTTACATCTTGCTTATCTCAAGTCAATCCAGTAGACTAGTAACTAAACACTGTGACCACAATGGGGCATGAATTTAAGAAACAGGAGGTACAAAAGGATGAAAACACAAAAAAGCAAAATGAACCCACACCGTTCTAGCCCAGCTGATCAAAGCATAAAAGAAATATCAATAATCATGGTTATAACATCTAATGAGATTCATACAGCACTTGTTAACATTTACAAAATGCTTTTTATATGTTTTCTCATTTGAAGATACATGCAAACCCTGTAAGGTGAGTATCACAGGTACTAGTATCCCCATTTCACAGAAGAGGAAGTGAAGGCTCAAAGAGGCTAAGTGATTTGCCCAGGGTCAAATAACTAATGCCAAATGTAGGGTCTGAACTCAAGCTTTTCAGATCCCAAGTCCAACAATTTATCCATTAGGTCAACCTAGTTGTTCAGTCATTTCAGTTGGTCCTATTCTTCATAACCTCATTTGGGTTTGTTTGGTTTTTTTTTGAGCAAAGATACTAGAAAGGTTTACCATTTTCTTCTCCAGTTCATTTTACAGATAAGGAAACTGAGGCAAACAGGGTTAAGCGACTTGCCCTGGGTCACATAGCTAGTAAATATGTGAGGCTGGATTTGAACTCAGGTCTTCCTGACTATCAGGGCACCAACTAGCTGCCCTGTTATGCCAATCTATGTACTAGATAAAAATAGTAATAGGCAAAATAGTAGACTAAAATAGATATAACCATTTTTAAATATTCTGATTTAAAAGTTTATGGTGTTATATCACTTGTTAATATAATTTTTCTTAGTAGTATTCACCTAATAGAATTAAATTAAACGTAACTATTTTATTACTGGGTTATCGCCCTGGAGGACAGCATCCAAGGGCATTATTCTAGGTGACCTACAAAACCCATGGGTTTCCAACATTGCTGATAAACAGCGCTCGAGGTCAGAATTAAAAGGCAACTGATCCCCCTCTAATTTCTGCCCACAGGGGAAGAAGAGGGAAGGCGCTAGAATTAAGAGGGGATGGGAAAGGCTTCTTATAAAAGATGGGATTTTAGTTAGGACTTAAAGGAAGCCAGGGAGGTCAGTAGAGGGAGAGCTCCTGACAAAAGTAAATACCAAGGCTGAGGGAAACAAAAAGGTATCAGAGCTAAGAAGGGAAGAAGAGCTCTGAGATCTTGCAGCATCTAAGTCCTGGTTAAAGACTCATAAGGTGAAGCTGAGCTCTAAGTCTTTTTATGTGTCTCTTTTTTATGTCCTCATGTGAATGAAAGGATTAACTAATGCTTTAAGCTTACACATTTTCAATTTAACACAAATCTGCTGCACCAGGTGGCATAGTGGAGTAGATGGAGCACTGGACTAGGAGGCAGAAATCCTGGATTCTAATCTGGGCTCATTACCCTCTCTGAGCCTCAGTTGCCTCATCTGTCAAATTGTGGGGTATTAAGAATATATTTATATACATATATATAAAATGTTGTTTATATAAAATGTTTATATTTTTTAATATTATATTTTATAATATATATAGTATTATAATACATCTAAATATATTATAAATAAAATGTTTTATATAAAATGTTTTATATGTGTGTGTATATGCACATACATATATGACACAACAAACTTATAGATCATAAAATTATTGGGTTCCAAGACCAAGTAAGCATTTTGAAGGATAAGTGACTAACACAGCTTCCTGTGTTAACTAACTTCTCCTCCAATATAACTAGTATCTCAACCTGCCCCTGAACTACATGTGGCAAGCCACTATGCTACCTAGAGAGAAAACAATCAATCAACAAGTATTTATTAAGCATCTTCTGTGGCAGGCACTGTGCTAGGCACTAAGGATACGAGTTCAAAGAATTAAACAATCTCTACACACAAAGAGTTTTAGTCGGGAAAACAAGTACTTATAAATGTGTGTGTCTATATCTGTGTCTGTGTATGTGTATGTGTACTCAGGATAAATATAAAGTGAAAGGGAAGAAATGAAATAACATTTATTAAGCACCAGTGATGTACCAGGCAATGTGCTAAGCATTTTACAAGTATTATCTCATTTGATGACACCCCTGGGAGGTAGATGCTATTATTATCCCCATTTTACAATTGAGGAAACTGAGGCAAACTTGGGTTAAGTGACTTGCCCAGGGTCACACAGCTAGTACATGTCAGAGGCCAAATTTTAACTCAGATCTTCCTGACTCCAGGCCCAGTACTCTATTTATACATAAAAAAAATAGTTCAACACAGGGTAGGTCAGGAGGGAGAGAGCTAGTAATCGGGAGAACTGGAAAAGGCTTCATGTAGAAGTTGGTATTTGAGCTGCATATTAAAGGAAGAGAGACACTCTTTGAGGAGGCAGTAAGGAAGAAGTGAATCCCAGGCAAAGGGAGTGGTCAATAGCAAAGGTACAAAGAAAGGGGATGGAGTATTCTGTATGAGGAATAGAAAGGCCAGTTTGGCCAGATCACAAAGTGTAGAAGAGAGGGAATGATGTCTAATGAGGCTGGAGAGATAGGCTGGGGCCAGATTTTATAGGGCTTTAAAAGCTAAGCAGAGGAGATTTTAGTTTATCCTAGAGGCAAAAGGAAGCTGCTAGAGTTGGTTGAATAGCAGAGCCACGTGGTCCTATCTGTGCTTAGGGAAAATTACTTTGGCAGCAATGTGTAAGATGTACTGTAGTGGGGAGAGACTTGAGCAGAGAGATCAATTAGGAGGCTGCTACAATAATCCAGGAAACTGGTGATGAGAGCCTGAACTAAAATTGGGGGGCAGGGTGCAGGAAGGGTGTCTGATGCATGAGATATTATAAAGGTAGAAACACAAGATTTGGCAACTTTATTAGACACATGGGTAAAGGAGAGTATGGAGTCAAGGCAATTTTCTTTTTGTTTTTGTTGACTCATTTCAGTGGGGTCCAACTCTTCGTGACCCCATTTGGGGTTTTCTTGGTAAAGATACTGGAGTGGTGTTCCATATCTTTCTCCAGCTCATCTTAGAGATGAGGAAACTGAAGCAAATACTGAGGTTACAAAACTGGAAATATGGTGGAGCCTTTGACAGAAATAGGGGGGTTTTGAAAAGAGGAGGGTTTATTGGAAAAGATGAAGAGTTTGAACATGTTTAGTTTAAGCTGTCTTTGGAACATCCAGTGTAAATACCCAGTAGGCAATTGGTGATCTGAGACTGAAGGTCAGATGAAAAACTGAAGCTAAATACATAGATCTGGGAATCATTGCCATAGAGAGAAGAGTGTTAAACCCATGGGAGCTGATGAGATAAACCTCTTCTGATCTCATTTTTCAACCCATTCTTGGTTCCTTTTCTCTTTAAAAGACTTGGTAGCCATTTTGGTTCCTCCCCATTTTCAGAGATGAGCCAGGGGTATAGTCCCTGAGCCCTACTTCTAACCCATCACCAGTCATCTTGACTTTTGTCTTACCACTCGACTTTGATGACTCTGAAGGAGAGAGGAAACCTGACAACTTTGTGCAGCTCTGGCTCACTTAAACTCAATCTGTGAGCAAGTCAAGACTTCATCAACCTCATGATGTCATTGGTCCTCTTCGAGAATGAAGGACAAACAACAGCTCCAAGGTTCAAAATAATGAGCCCTCTATCTTGCCTATCAATCCCCTACCCCTGTGGCATGTGTTCACTCCCAAGTCAGTGTTTACCCAAAACTCCTTATAAATGTGTAATATCACCAAATGATACCTCCACACAATGGTCATCAACTGGTAGGGAAAGAGGGTTAGATGACAAGGCCCCTTCCAGTTTTGATATCTCTGTGATTCTGTGACATTTGGAGTCTCCAGTGGACGCTTAGATCTTTTTGTTTTAAGTTGTTCCTGAAAGCATCCATAGTGAACATACATGTGTGCACATC